AATCATGAAAAAATTGTTTCCTCAAAAATATTAAGCAGCACAAATGTTTACAACATTGATAATAATCAGAAATGGTTACTGAGCAGCAAAGCATATTAGAATGATTTCTGAAGGATCATGTGACACTGAAGACTGGAGTAATGGTGCTGAAAATTCAGCTTTGATCACTGGAATACAGTTGCCTATATGTTAATATTGTACTGTGGTACATTTATGGAGGCCCTTCATAATGCAGAGGTCAACTGTCTGCTCTGCCAATAGTTAGAAATGGCACAATAGTATGCAATGTTTAATAAACAGCTGTTTTACTAAATTCTTCTGAGGTGAAATTCAGTGCAGTCCTGTATCGTGATACGTATCATATCGTGGTCTCTGTATCGTGACACGCATCGTATCGTGACTTTGCTGGTGATACACAGCCCTAGTTAAAACATTTAAATAGATAATTTAAATTGACAGTATTTCACAATATTACAGTGTTTACTGTATTTTTAATAAATAAAATGTAGCCTTGGTGAGCATAAGAGACTTTCCAAAAAAAAAAAAAAAAAGGGGGGGGGGGGGGCCTTGAAAAAATTTTTTTCAACAAAAGGGGGGCGCTCCAGAAAAAGTTTGGGAACCACTGGCCAACTCAAACACACAATATTTAATTTAATTTAATTCATACAGGCCTACCTCATGTTGCATGTTTGCACTTTTTGAGAAAAACAATGGCACAATAAAAAAAAAATTTCAGGTCTATGTCCAATCCCTCACTTTTTCTAGTTATATAAGGGTAAAATATTTTGTCTGTAATTTTTTTTCTCATATTGCAATATAATATCGATATCGCCTGGACAGTGTGAAATATTGTGATATGAATTTTAGCTCATATCGCCCACCCCTACTAGCGATGGAGGATTGACAGAGTTTGTGCACAGCGACATGGACTTTGACATGTTCCCTTCAGAAGAAAAGCTGAACTAATGAAAGGTGGAAAAGAAGGACTAGAAAGAAACTAGGTAAGAAACAATTTTCTGATGGCCTCCCTCAGGCCATTGACCCACAAAGAAATCACCATTTAATCATTTCCAACCCAAAAAGTGGCTGATGGAAAAAATGTTTGCGCTACATGAATAGAGATGGTCCTAGAAATGGGTCATTCTGATTAAACATCAGGATGCATTAGTGCTGGGCGGTATACCGGTTCATACCGAATACCGGTGTTTATTTTTGTTATGATATGAATTTTTAAAATACCGCAATACCGGTGTATGTCGCTTAAACAACGTTCGGAACGCGACACTGTTTGAAAGGGGTCCCTTTTCACTGTTACACTGTGGTGAGGGAACAGCTGTATGTGTTACTAAGCATGAAAATTCCGAAACTGAAGCTGTAGAACTAATAGAACGTGATGACACAGAAGAACTCATCCACAATATCCACATTGACCGCCACAAATATCCACCGCCCCCTGCCATCAGCTCCCGCGTCTCTCACACCCACGAGTGCAATGCTTTAGCACTATATTTAGCAACTTTCAGACCATTTTAGCGGCTTTTTTCCCATAGAATATATATACTGACAAACCTAGCGACTTTTTTGGATAAACCTTAGCTATGGTTCAGTTGGAAGATTTCGCCAGTGCTGTCCCACGAACGCGAGGTCTGACTTTCCCGGAGAAGAGTCACCTCTCTCGGCATCTGTTCTGTGCAGTGAGCGGCAGAGAAGCAACGCATTCAGTTGGCCGCACCGCAGCCGACTCATCAATAAATGAGTACAAAACAGCGTTTCCAAGCACCTGTCGCTTACTGACTGTTTGGAATAATAAATATGAGCATAGTTCGTCTATTAATATAATGCAAACATTTTTTGTTTTGTTTTGTTACTCAGACGCAGGCAGTGCGCTGCATGAGACAAAAAAGTAATATAGCCAAAACAACCGCATAGCCGCTCTTTAGTGTAGATGCATGTTGATTTTATCAGACGATGCCGCGATTATAAATGAGAGTGACTCCTGGTTAACATGTATTAAAAGGGGTCGTGTTTAGTCACTATTTAGTGTGGTATTTTTTGACAATATTCACTCATCGTGACAGTAAAATAGGGCATTCTAAGTCAATATACTGCAGTATTTCCTCTCTCAATCAGTAGAAAATATGGTTAACACCCGGTCATGCATGAAAAAAAAAATACCGTCATGTACCGTGAAACCGGTATAATTTTGAAAAATATCGTGATATAAATTTTTGGTCATACCGCCCAGCACTAGGATGCATACATCATTGACTTTCGCAGCTGCAGTCAGACTCCCCTCACCTTTTCACCAATAAATTTCCAAGAGTCTTCCATGCATTTATGATTACTGATTGACAGTACATTTCATTAGCAAATTAATCTGAATTTGAATTATTTTTTAAAATAATTATTAGTGTTACTGAATTAATTATTTACTAATCATTAAGAATTTTAATGATTTTTAAAAATCATTTAAATTCTGATCAATTCACTAATTAATCATTCAAGCTCATCTGTGAATCAGTTCAAAATGATTTTTAAAAGTAATTTAAAATTTAAATCATTTAAATTTGAGACTCGAAAGATCAACTCATTCAAAAATCAGACATCACAGTTGCCTTATTTTTCATTTTTAGTTGACTAATGTAGTTAAGTTACTAATCTTAACAAATGGAACCTTATTGTGTGTTACCAGCTTTACTATACACAGGAGCAATTTTAGCCAATTAAATAATTTACAGCAAATAAAAGCAAGAAAAATGCATATTCATAATAAAAATTCAATCATTTTCATGAGCTTTTAATATTCTCCATTATTTTTGTGTCTGGAAAACACACATGTAAAATCTCCGGACAGAAACATAAAACCTACAAGACATACAGTATAATGAACGAAGAAGACCAGAACAACACAAAATGCACAGCCAAAGCATTTCCCTTCCAGTCTTATGATTACTACCACACCATACAGCCTCAGAATGGAGGTGTACTCTACAGCACTCTCAGTGCGGTATGTTGACTCTGAGATGTCTCGAGGCAGCGGGGCTGCTTGAGCAATTGAGAGAAGTTCACCTTTGATTGGCTAAGCTACCCATAAACACAGGCAACTGTCACTGTGTCATTCACTCAGTGTTACCTGATGCGTTTGTATTGTTGAGATTTGTGTTAAGTAAGTGTTAAGTACCTCAGCCCTCTGCACCACCCCATCACCTTCCCCCTGTCTTATAAAGCTAACCATAATTCCTTTTGTCCTATATCTGACCTGGCTGTATTACAGAACAACTCAACTTTCTGATGATAAAAATAGAGTACATATACTATAAACCATCGGTTCCCAACAGGGGGGTCCCGGCCCACAAGGGGGCCTCAGCGAGCTCTGTGGGGGGTCGCGTCATATTTTGAAAAGTGTTGAGCAGTGAGCATTTACCTGTTGAGCGGTAGCCTACGTTAGCCCTACGGCTACGTTTTTAAATTACAAATGGCCTACTGATGTTTTTGTTGTTGTATTTTCAATATTATATATAGGCTATTATTTGTGCATAAACATATCTGGTTATAGTAATAAACATAACGTTTGTTCGAAAACAAAATTTTTTGTCATCCTTGCTGCAAGCTTACAAGAGCGATAATATCATTAAATGTGAAGGGGGGGCCCTAAAATATTTTCTTGGGAAAAAGGGGGTCTCAGACAAAAAAAGGTTGGGAACCACGGCTATAAACTATCAATGAGATGGTCCAGAACAGCTTAAATATACATAAACGCACATGAACATTGACTAAAACAAGTTCTATTAAATATAAATTTCATCAAACCGTCTCTGTATAGCATGGCTTATAAGTAGCTGAATTTTTCTAGCTTTATCAATCATCTTAGATGGATTTGTTTTAATGAGCTTGACTCAATGCATGGAATTATAGAATTAAGATGGGGGTATTTTGTAGCATGCTAACTAATAAAAGATCATCACAGGTCTAAATTTCCATCTTTGCCACTCCATTTTTAAATGTTTATTAATTAGAAAGCGTCTTAAGCACTGGAAAGGTGCTATATCAAATAAACGAATTACTAGAGAAACTGATATTACTAGAGACTTGTCTCATATGAATATAATCTTATTGTAATCATAATTATTTATTTACATAATTCTTTATGTAATATATTTAAAAAATGTTATGGAGTGCAATTTTGACAAAAAAATCTTGCAAAAGAAAACATCTTGACTGGTATTCTAGCACTTAATTTGAATACATTCAGGCAGCACAGAAACTGGAGTCACAGCATGCCATCTAGTGGCTACTAGGAGTATTTCATGCATCTGCTGTAGTAATGGAATAGTTTATAAAATAGAAAATATCGCGATAATGTCTGCCATTCTGTTTCAACCCATTTGTTTATTTATTTAATTTTATTCTATGTAACTCAAATAAAAGTATTTAAAAAAATTTACGCAGCCTGTTTGATACAACTGCGTGTGTCAAGATCCAAAAACGACAACAACAAAAAACATGTATAATAAAAGTAACGTTAGTCCATAAGACCCCTTTGTATATAACGGCAAGATATTTATTTTTGGGTGAACTATACCTTTCAGAGACCCTTGAAGCACATTAGTCCAAATTTTGAGAAATCTCATTAACCTCCAACAACCCGCTGGCCGTTTTTTTTTAATAATAAGGCAACATCTTTGTCTAAGTGCAAAAGTATGAGGCATAGATAAAGTAAGCACAGTTCAGCTCAGTAAAAATGACAAGGTGTACAAATATAATGGGTAACGTTAGCAATATAATTCAACATTAATGCATTTAATATTCATAACAGCTTGCTTTATTCTGAAGCGGAACTGATATTGCTATTTGATTGCTATTGCTGAATTGATATTGCATAGGCTACAATGATGTTGTGCTTATCTTTCTAAAGACTTGACACAACAGCATCACTCAAACAATTGGTTCATTATGTTTCTGTGTATATTGTAGCACATTATGTGAAAAGTAGGATTTACCTGTTTGATGGTAGAAATGAATATTCGGATGCTGTCCGTCAGTCAGTCGATGGCAACCGAAAAAACGTTTCCACAATTTGCTCTCCGGACTTGTCAGTGTTATAGACTACAACGATGGACTCGTTTTAAAAGTTCACTTTCTTGTCATGTTAGTGTTTCATTGTCAAATTTTACATCGCAAGCGTTACTAATTCCAGAAACTGACTGCGAATTGCATGAACTTGTGATTACTTCACTGACACGAACGCTCGCGCACAAACCTATCACGTTCACAGTTAACAGCCAATCACGTGTTAGAGTCCGCGCGATTTATTTTTTCTCTGAAAATCAAAAAATCATTATGGAACAAATATATGAAAAATGCAAACACATTTACACATCAATATGATTATTATAAAGAAAATAAAGCACGCATTAATTTGGAGGGAGAGAAACAAATCTGATTAATTTTTTTTGCGTCAAATGTGTGCTCACAGCTGATTGGTCCAATAAACAGCTATTGAACCAATCAGCTGTGACCACATCTTTTAAGCAAAAAAAAAAAGTGATGTGTGACGGTCTATGCTGAAAACATAACCTCAAAATAGGCCCTATGTTGGATTGTTGATGATTAATTTAAAAAAAAATGAAATAATTTATTTTATTTAAGAGCAAGCACCCTTTAAAAACAAGCTATCTGTATAGAGACCCCTAGTAAGTTCAATAGTACTATTTTTGTACTTAGTAATGGCATTGCAGTGACAATATTGCAGTGAAATGTAAAGTGTAACACAAAGACAGAACTCTTCAATGCAGGATGACATAAGATTTATTTGCAAACATGCTTTACAAACATTACGCGTTAAAATAAGTCTTAAAATAATAGTCAACAATCATACTTAAAAAGGTAGCTTTGTGGCGGAATATCATATGCTTTTGGAATCTCTATTCAAATTTTTGAGCACTGAACTATAACTTATGTTTGGTGCAGTCATTTCATGTACAACTTTTCTCTATGGAGGTGTTACATTTGCAGTTTCTTCTTGGGCATGCAAGGATACTTTTCAAGCTGCTAAAATGCCCCCAAGGTAAAACTTGAATAACTTTAAATAAACTAGATGACCTGAATGAAAGCATGAAGTCGTATATAAACTAAACATGACTCATTTCAGGGAGGACCAAACAACAATTAAAATAATAACGGCTAAAATAGCAATCTGTAATACACTGGTTTTATATGTCTTACTATTTTGTATTTAGATTTTGTATATTTATTAATTTCCCCAGTCACTGATCAGGTATATAAAACATCTCATGATTCTCTATAACATCAGGACAAACACAAACCCTCATGGCCAAAATGGTCATTGTTGGTCAGAATATGCTTAAAGTATACGCATTAAAAATGATTCATTCTGCCTCTGAAAAAAAAAAATCAATGAAGCACTTTGGTTCATATTCCACCCCCCTTTTCAAACAATCAGAAGAAGTTGCACACATAGCATGCATCTGAAAACATACAGTGACAATATTATCTCTCAGTGAATCAAACAGTTATGGATCAGCTTTTGTCAAGCTGTTCTCGTTCAACTCTCTGTGGTAATACACACTGATACACATGATGCTTGTGTGTTGCCATATTTGGAAGAACAAGGATCTATTCACGGTAGACGTTGTAATAGCAGACAAGGATGATTTAATAAGGTAATTATTTTTTTATGGCAGAACAGCATTTTCATCTTCTAGCACATGAACAAACACTCAACCACACCCACACACACTTACACTGGCTTGGCTAATTAGAAATCTCCACATAAAGTCATATGTGCTGAGATAAATGGCTCGTTTAAATTCATGAGTAGGACGCATTTAGAAGGCTATGTTACTGTTGAGCTGGAAAATGCCAAATTATTGAAGACAGATTTGTCTTAGACTCTAAAATGTTTGAAAGGGATAGTACACCCAAAACTGAAAATTCTGTCATAATTTACTCACTAATGTTGGTCCAAACCATGGAATGCAAAAGCAGAAAGCAATTATAGTGAATAGTGATTTGATGCACAAGCACTATAAAAGTATCATAAAATAGGCTTGTGTATTATTTCAGCATGATGGTTTTGTGTATTCCTTCCATTTGAGTGGGCTGTTAACTATAAATGCAGCTGGATCATTAAATTGAGGTCATTTCTATGAACTTTTAGGATTTATTGAAACTATCTCAAAATAAAAAAAAAGTATAGTAGTCATACACAGGCACACAAGTTCTCATTTGCTTTCAGTATATTGAAAAGTGTGGCCTGAATATATACAAATAGGTTTATTATACCATGGCTATGGATACATAGCCTCGTCAAAATTGTGAACTATGAACACACAACTTAACATGGCTAAACCAGCAAGAGAAAAATTCTCTTCTTTCACTATATTAGACTGTATAAAAAAATGCAACAAAAAAAAAAGCAAAATCTGACAATTGATCTGGTGTATCTGTTGCTTTACTTTTACTTATTTATTCATATTGACAGTTTCATTGTCTGTTTTTTCTCTGTTTGAAATGCAATAATTTTGGAAAGACATTTTGGGTAAAACTATCCCTTTCATCCCTTGACAGAAACCATTTAGGCTAGAGATCAACTCTTAAACTCAATAAAAAGCAAAAAAGTAAAAACATAACATTTATCTTTAAGTAAATGCACTACATGAGCACGCATTGAAAACTATAGCAAAAAATCCCATAAACCTCTTTTGCTTGTGAAGTGCATTGCACATCTCATTATGCATGCCTCCTCCTTATCATCATTAAATGTCAAACCATAGGTGGGCTAAATTAGTTATGAAGTTCAGGGAACACGGATGGCATATTACAGTAATCGTAACAGATATGCTTATGTAAGTGCTCGGAGTGGAGAGAAACACTGTATCATATAGTGATTTATATCATAATTTGCTATGGCTTGATTTCTCTATTCCTATAACAGGAAATAACAAAAAAAAAAAAAACTAAAGCACCAACATATTCTCTTTACAACTATCTTATGAATACATAAATAAATGCAATTATATTTTTTCCATTTAAAGGTGGAACACATCAAATGGATTTGACTATGTTACTTAGTATATACAGACACGTTATGCATTAATGTACAATTCTTTACATTGTTGAAGCATTCTTTCCTGTTTGGTTCGATTTTTCAAGTGCTCAGAAAGTAAAGCTCGTTCAGCGTAACAGCTGCACATAACATTATTTAAGCTGCTGCTTAAGAAGTTGAAACCATTTGTGGCACTGCCTTTGATGACGTCCTTACTGGGTTTATCATCTCCCTCTTTAAAAATCGGCCCTTCATGTGAAAAGCATGACAGTACATCTTTAAATACGGTCTCCAAATAAGCCCTAACTAACAGTCCTCCCAAAGTGTCCTATAGTTGCAAAGTGTTTAACAGTAGCAGCATGACAGCAAGGCACAGGACGAATGTGCTGTCCACCAAATCCACTTCTAAACAACTTTAATGCTGCTTCATCTCAATCTATCTGATTGCTAGATTATACTCTTGTGCTTTCATGAGTTGGTGAGTGGGCTTTTAGCAGGTGTAATTGGGAAATCTTGATGCAATAGGTTGTGCATGTCTATTTGATTCACAGTGTAATAGGGAGAAGTCTTGTTCCCCTACAGAGTCTAGGAAAATGGAGTTTACAAAGGGTTCGGAGACCCAGCGGCATCCATTTTGGAAGTGTTGGATGATGACTCATCAACTTTGCGCACTATTTCCTCCTCACCGAGGCAGGAAACCTGAGTTTATCGCTGTGTATTACATCCTGTGTTTGACGTGTGTCTTTGAAGCGCTCAGATTTTTAGTTACGCCTGGGCTACAGTTGGATGCATGTTCTGCTGCAGCTTGTCTATAGGCCGGAAAATGGTGTTTGAGCACGTTATGGAAATCTATCACAAGTATTACTGCTCTTATGCTTTATATATTAAGACAGCAGTGCAAGAACGTGGCTATGGAAGCATGAGCCGTTTATAGTGCTATGATGCAGATCTGTGATGATGTGACTGTAAGCACGTCTCTGTTGCCTTTGGAGGAAGAGCAGTGAGGGTAAATTTGCAGAGCCTCTCAGTCCTGCAGCAGCGCTTCTCTCCAGTTAAAGCTGTGATTGGGCCCATGGGTGAGGGGCAGGATGGGTGGATCCACAAGCTGCCAAACGCCTGTCTCACCCATCTCCTCACAAGCACAAAAGCCTAAGTAAGGTATCTGTGAGAGAGACAGGAAAAAAATGGAAGGAAAAAGAATATCTACAGCAGTTTGTATATATCAATTATCATATATAACATAAAAGACCAAAATAAATACGTATATATACACAAAAATATGGGGTCGGTAAGATTTTTAAAATGTTTTTGTGAGCATCTTGTGCTCATCAAGGCTGCATTTATTTAGTCAAAAATATTATTAATTTATGATTATTAAATGAATTCATTTTCTTTATTAATATTTTTATTCATGTGATGGAAAAGCTGAATTTTCAGCAGCCATTTCTCCAGTCTTCAGTGTGATCCTTCAGAAAACATTCTAATTCTGAAGGATCCTTCATGATCCTTCAGAAAACATTCTAATATGCTAATTTGCTGCTCAAGAAAAATGTCAAAAATCTGTGTTGGAAAAGTTTGTGCTACTTGATATTTTGTTAGATTTGTGTTCAAAAGAACAGTACTTGCAGTATTTATTTGAAATAGAAATCTTTTGTAACTATCTTATGAATACATAAATAAATGCAATTATATTTTTTCCATTTAAAGGTGGAACACATCAAATGGATTTGACTATGTTACTTAGTATATACAGACACGTTATGCATTAATGTACAATTCTTTACATTGTTGAAGCATTCTTTCCTGTTTGGTTCGATTTTTCAAGTGCTCAGAAAGTAAAGCTCGTTCAGCGTAACAGCTGCACATAACATTATTTAAGCTGCTGCTTAAGAAGTTGAAACCATTTGTGGCACTGCCTTTGATGACGTCCTTACTGGGTTTATCATCTCCCTCTTTAAAAATCGGCCCTTCATGTGAAAAGCATGACAGTACATCTTTAAATACGGTCTCCAAATAAGCCCTAACTAACAGTCCTCCCAAAGTGTCCTATAGTTGCAAAGTGTTTAACAGTAGCAGCATGACAGCAAGGCACAGGACGAATGTGCTGTCCACCAAATCCATTTCTAAACTACTTTAAAGCTGCTTGGTCTCA